TTACTTTTGGGGAGGAAGAGCCACGGGAATTCCCCTGCCCCCGGAGAATTCACCCCCGATGGAACCAATTCAGCGCGGTGTTCCCGCCCCAACGGTTCCCGCCCCGACGCTTTCCTTCCAATTGCCGTTCCTGATCAAAGCGGACAGAAACGCCTCAGACAAGCAGCAACCGCCCCTCCCTCGCATCCTGGGCACACTTCCTCCCTGACACGGGGGCATGCCCAGCCCCCCAGCGCCAAGGCGACCCTGGCACCCTCCATCTCCTACTTCTGGAGGTCTGTTCCCGCCCCAACGGTTCCCGCCCCGACGCTTTCCTTCCAATTGCCGTTCCTGATCAAAGCGGACAGAAACGCCTCAGACAAGCAGCAACCGCCCCTCCCTCGCATCCTGGGCACACTTCCTCCCTGACACGGGGGCATGCCCAGCCCCCCAGCGCCAAGGCGACCCTGGCACCCTCCATCTCCTACTTCTGGAGGTCACCAGCAAGAGGGTATCAAACCCAGGGCCATCTCCTCGTGCAGCCTTGAGCACGTGGTTGAGCCAGCTCCAGCATCCCGGCTCCCGGAGCCCTGGCCAGAGCTCTCCAGGACCTCGGGGGCCATTTCTTACAACACCCACAGGGCAGCTTCTGAGGGGGCCACGGACTGCGCTGGAGGCCCCGGCACAAGCAGCGAAAACGCACCTGCTGCAAATTGCTCCTCAGGCCTAGGACAAGGCTCCGACCTGGTCTGTCCTAGGCTGGGCCCAAGCACCTCACAAGCCTCCGTGGTTTGTTCTCCCGCACCTGGGAAGCCAGGCCGGCCTCACCCCTCCCACTGCACAGAACTAGGCAGGCTCAGGACAAGCCAGGGAGTCCGGCAGCACCGGGAACCAAATTCCGGCCTCTCACCCACCAGGCCCCCTCCTGCTCCAGCCACCAAAGCCCCATGGCAGGCAGGGCCCAGGTTCCCAGGGCTGCGGAGGCTGCAGATCAGGCGTGAAGGAGGCTCTACACCCGTCACTCAGGGCTGTATGGATCCGGGTCGGCCCAGCAGTGTCATTGCAGTGCCCTCTCCGTGCGCACAGGGGCAGGCGCCGGCCCATCCCTTTGGCTGCATGTAGCGCAACGGGCCCCGATCCAGACGCCTCCTCCCATGCCACCAGGAGCGCGTGCTGTGCGGAAGGCCGGCTCCCTGCAGTCTGCGGGATGACGTGTGAATCTCACAGAGGGGGAGTGACCAGCCCCCACGCCCCCGGCCTCAGCCCCCGTGCTCTGGTTGCGAGGCCAGAAGGAAACAAACCCGCCGGCTGCAAAGGGGACACGAGGCAACGGGGGACAGCCGGCGCGGGCGGCCTCCCTTCCAACGCATGGACGGAAAACTGTGTCCCAAGACCACTCAGCGCACTCCCATCGGCCCAGGGAAAGGGCCCTGCCCACGCCACGTGGCCAAGGGGAAGCCACGCGGAAGATTCCTGCATTTGCTTAAGAAGCATGTGACAGATGGGGGGAATCCGTAGCCAGAGGCGGAAGCGGGTTGGTCAGCTGAGCTAAGGAGGCCCGCAGACCCAATGCACTGTCCTATGAGCGCTCGCCGCTGGGGGGTCCAACGCAGGGACCCAGCGCACCAGAGACAAGTGCCTAGTGAGGGCTGGTGTTTCC